AGCCCAAGAATACGAAGCCATCGCCCAAATTAGGTCCGCATTTGAGGCCGAATTCAAATGCAATCCCGACTTATACCACAAGTCAGACGTGGATCGGGTGTTGGAAAACGACTGGACTGTCCACCGATTCCTGTTGGCGGGCGACGGCACTGCGAGCGCCGGACTCACGCGACTCATGAATGCCATGAAATGGCGCAAAGAGTGGGCCATACATGAGATGTCGGAAACGGATTTCCCCAAACAGTTCTACCAAATGATGCGCTTCGGGAGGGCCCGCAACGGGTCGACAATCGTGTTAACCCGCGCGCAGTTTTATATACCCCTTAACGAGTGGCGAGAATTGTTTAAGAAGTTCTTCGTATTTGTTTTGGAGACACTGGATCGACAAAATACCGGCGCCGGCATTACTGTCGTATTAGATCTCAGAGATTGTCGTCTATTTAATGTGGACTTTGATTTCGTATGGTTTGTGAAACCGATTCAAAGCAAATACTATCCGTTTCTGTTGAGACAACAACTCAATTGTGACATTCCGTGGATTCTTAGCTCTGTCTCGCAATTCATTTTGTCATTAATGCCCCAAAAGACCAGAAAACTCATGCATTTTATCAAACTTTGCGAACTCAGCGATCATGTGATGGAAGAGTACATTCCCGTCTATATGGGCGGCACTGGTGTTAGAAATTATTCATGGATTCCCGACACGTGTACCGGTGTTGAGGAGTTGGCTAAAAGTCTGGATCTGTCGGAGAAGAATCTCAAGAAACTTGTGTCACATTTGGTGCCTTTAGTTGAAACCTATTCTCATTAATATTTTGTATACCTTTTAATGAAATATAATATTTTTATTCATGTATTATTATTTTATATAAATTTTATGCTATTTTAAGAAATGAAATCAAAATAAATAGATTTTATAAATACAAATCCCACTTATATTTCATTGAATTAATTTTTTTAATTATAAAATTTTTATTTGTGTTTCAATTGACAAGAACTTATTGATAAATAATATCTAATCTGTAATTCTATGCTTTGATCAGTTTATATTAATGTTATAGACACGTAAAAAGCAATTGTTTTAAGCAATGTTATCTTTACTGTAATTTAATTTATGTAAACATTTTGCATAAGCTTTGTTTTGAATTATTGATCTCTGGGTTATAGATTAAAATTTGATACCAAAACGCCCAGTTAGGTCAACGCAGCTTTTATACTCTCATATAAAAGCTGAATCCACAAGGTATAAAACAATATTTAATAAACATTTATATAGAGAATTATTATTAGATTTATAAAATTAAGAATAATGTATTTTAAAATATTGCTTTTATGTATATGCCAATTAATTTTCGTAAGTGTTTCAATATGTAATAGCTTAGATACTAATGAAACTGATGAAACTTTGCAAGTGGATTCACAAATCAAACTACCTTCCCCTTATCCAAGTAAGTACTAGTATTAGTAATACTTTATTACCAAAATTAGTTTATACAAAATTTTCTATAAATTAACTTTCTATTAATAGAATACACAAATTGCACCCAATATTCAACTCAAAGAGTTTTATGGATAACATATGACAATAAAACATGTTATTTACTGCCCAATTATGACCGGGCTGTCAGTTGGCACGACGCAAACGAGGCCTGTCTGTCCAACAACGCCAATCTGGTCTCCATTCACAACCCAACCGATAATTTTGTGTTATCTCATCGGCCGAGACTTGGTTACACTTACAACACAGTCTACTGGATAGGTCTCAACAGTTTGGTCGAGAGGGGTATCTACAAGTGGTCCGACAATAAACCAAATGAATACTCAAATATGGCTAATACCAACTCTCAAGGACAACCATTGGACCCTGATGTTCGCTTTCAAGGTATTTATTTATTAAATTAATATTTAATTTTAGATGTTTTGTGAATAATCCAAAACTCAATGTATTAAATGCACTAAACTTTTAGGTCGTTGTGTATCCATAAGAAGTGTATTGAACACGACGTCAGTTATACCTAAAGATGTGGGAAAATGGTTTAAAGATGACTGCAATCTCGTTCACTCATTCATCTGCGGCCGACCTGTTAATGAAGTAGTCGTTCCGCCCACACCTCCACCTAAAGGCAACTGTCCTAAAGGTATAACCAGAGTTTTATTAAAATTAGCAAATTGTAATAAAACTTACAAAACAGATTGGTATCAATACGCGGACAACAAATGCATGAAATACATGAACAAATCGATGACATTCAGTGATGGTAGGGCTCAGTGTCTCAGTTTGAAGGCAGAGATGGTGTCCATTCACTCACAGGAGGAACAGGACTTTATTAGTGCTATGCTTTATGGGAAAACACAGCCATATATTGGATTCAAAAAGGATGCCTCAACTCTAATGTATGAGATTTAATATTTTTGATCATTTATGAAATGATAATAACTATTATTACTAATTATTAAGGTGGTCGTGGGATGACCAATCAAAAATTGTAATAACTCCATGGGGTGTTCAAGAACCAATTAAATATTCTGAAACAAAATATTGTGCAATTTTAGTCACTAATATAACGCAACCGGGAAAATGGCTTAAAGTTTATTGCAATGAAACACATCCAGTGCTCTGTCAGAAGCAGTTGAGTATGTATTGAATTGTTTGATTTATTTTTATTTACTAATTAATTGTTTTCTTAATTGAGGTCCTGATGAGAAAGAGGAGTCCCCGTTAGGTGTTTCCAAATGCAAGATCTCTGGATTTGATAGTTTTATTCAATATCGGAACTCATGTTATCTTGTAGTCGATAATAAGGTTCAAACATTTTCCGATGCGGAAAACACTTGTCAGGCTATGGGAAAGGGATCACATTTAGTCTCAGTTGTGGATCCTTTTGAAAAAGATTTTCTTATCTATTATTTAACTCAAAATGGAAAGTCTGAAGATTATTGGATTGGATTCCATACGGATGTCGAGTCAGCCACTAATCTCTCGCAGATATTTCAGTGGACAGACGATTGGCCCAACTATTACTCCAATTGGGACGTAAGTGAACCACACTTTGGTGATCCCACTCAAGAGGAATGTGTGTCACTATCGAGAAGCAACGGCACGTGGAGGACGAGTACATGTGATCTGAAGTTGAGCTATGTTTGCAAAACAACAACCGATTCTTTGCCGGAACTAAACAAAGATAGGACTGGTGTCTGTCCAACACTGGCAAACATTACGGACAAATGGCAGGCATGGGTTGATTTGGATAAGAGATCGCAATT